GGGCCGTCGATGTGGGCCCCGGGGGCTTTGTATGTAGAAATACTCACAAAGTGTCCTTTATTACCGATGGCTTGAGTGAGCGTGTCTGGATCTCTGGGTGCCGTGCCACCTGACACCAGGGTTGCCGTGCGAGGTGGTGCAGGCTGTGCACTGCGTCTCCCCGGGCCAGGGTCACCTTTTCTCGTTTGCTTGAAGGCCTGTGCAAGCCAGGGTGGCAGGTCCCACCCCTTGGGTCCTGGGCCAGTGTGGCAGCGGGGCTGTTGGGGCAGGGGTGGGCACAGAGCAGACTGGGTTAGCCAGCGGGGAAAGGATTGGCGTTCTCGTGGGAAGTAAGTCTGGGATCAGCTAGCCATGCCTGCTGTGGGCACAGAAGGGATGACTACACAGTTGTGCATACCCATCCCCCCCCCCACCCCCCACACCATAGGGGTTCCCCTTATAGGAGCAGAAACAGCCTCCTCCCAAGGAACAGGAAGTGGACTTTTCCCAGGGACAGGCACTCGGCTTCCACTGTCCAGGAGCAGGAAGTAGGCTTACCCCACAGGAGTAGGAAGTGGCAACCCTTAGGCACGGAAAGTGGGCTTCCCTCGCAGGAGCCCAGTCTCAGGACCAGGAAGTTGGCCTTCTCTCCCCAGGATCAGGAAGTCAGTCCCCCAGGAGCAGGAAGTGGGCCCCTCCCCCTCCAGGAAGTTGGCTGCCCACTGGCCTTCAGGTCCTCTGGAATGTCACAAGCTGGACGCCTGTGGCTGGGGACAGTGCGGTACTCTGACCAGCCTGGTTTGCCGGAGGGGAAAGCATCACTGTCCCACAAGAAAGATGATGCTTGCCCCTCCGGTAACCAACAGTTCCCCCTGGGAATCCAGGGTGGGACCCACAGGGGCCTATAGGCTAACTCCGAGTCAGAATTGAGTGTTTGGTCTTTTAGGTTGGAGGAGACAGAGCAGGGTGCCAACTGCCTGTTTGAGAGAGAAATGGATAAGGTGAGCCTGCTGGAGTGGGGTGGGGGAGCAGTTGGCAGGGAGCCACACCCCCAGAGCCCCCAAATGCAGAGGACTTTAATGCCCATAGCAGCTCTGGGCTCAGCTGCTAACCAACCCTCATCCCTACCTTTGCTGCTGCAGCTTGAGCCCCACCTAGTGGTGGCACCTAGTATGGGTCCTGTCCAGCCCCAGGGCCGGGCTCTACCTTAATTGCTTCCTCCATCATCTACATTTTACTACCCTACCCCCACCCCATCAGCTGCAGTGAGGACACCAGGGTACCAGCCCCTGAGGCTGTCCTGGTTCCAGACGCCCTCCTGGTTCCAGGCTCCTGTGGACATAGCTCTGCCCTGGGGACCCAGGAGGAGGTCACTCCTGGAGGGGCCAGTGTGGGAGCCCTCTTGTCTGTATTGGGGGCTTGTGGTTGTACAGGGGGCTCCCACCTGATCCCCCTAGCTTGCTGCTGCTCTTTCAGTTTCATGTGTGGATGGGAACCTGTGTCCTGCTTGGGTCCTAACCCCACCCCCCACCCCAGTGGCATTACTACTAAGGAATCCCACCCAGGGGGGTGGGGGCTGCTGGCAGCGCAGATCCACCCCCAGCACGCTGTGTCTGCTTCCTGGGCAGCTCTCAGCCCTCAGCACTGGCTGGCTCAGGGGTCAAGGAGCTGGGCAGGCTGGGGGTGGGGTGTCAGTGAGACTGGCAGGGTCCAGCCAGCTGATGGTGGGGGGCTTTCTCTGGGCTGCTAGTCGGAGTGGTCAGCAGTGTGAAGAGGCCAGCTGCTCCGCAAGAGAAAGAGGAGGCTTCCTGCCCCTGTGGAGTTAGGTTCTCAGAAACCCGGAGGGGCCGTTCTGCCTTGTCCTCTAGGGGCACTGGGCTTTTGCCCGTGTGGCTGGAGAAGCAACAGAGGGCCCTGGGAGGGTCGTGTGGGTGCCTGCATGCTCCTGGAGGGCTCGCCCGGGGGACCTTGGGACCTTCCCACACAGGTTAACTGGGCATCGACCACATTTCCTGTAGCCCTGGTTGTGCAGTGGGTTACACATTGGGCTGCTGACCCAAGGTCAGCAGTTCGATCCCACCAGCTGTTCCGTGGGAGAAAGAAGAGGCTTTCTGCCCCCGTACAGCGTTAGAGTCCCAGAAGCTCTCGGGG